ACATAAGTTGACCAACTATTCCATGTGTGAAAATTGCGGGTCGCACACTACCCGAACTTTTGGCACATAATTGTCCACTTCCCGGTGTCGGGCCGTTCGGGTGCGATCTTTGAGCTTATAATCACAATATTTAAAACTTTTGATCAATTCATGACATTGTTTGATCTACAATGGATCGTTTAGGATTTATATATTGTTACTGCAGGTCTATTTATTATCCTTTTAACCCTTCCCGTGTATCGTGGCCGAATTTTGTCCATTTCCAACTTTGAGACTTAATTAAAAATCAAACACTAATTCAACAAACTAAAAATTTCAGGAATGCCTCATAGAAGTAAAGATTTAAACATTTGCAAAGTTTTAATAAAATTAATTAATTCTAAGACTAGTTAAATCAATAAATTAGACATTATTTGGCCACTATACACGATACGTAACTTTTTATTCAGCAGTACAAAACAGTGCTTTGGCCCATTAATTGGCCACAATGCACGTTATTCGCTGGCCCTATTTTTGGCCACAATACANGCAGTACAAAACAGTGCTTTGGCCCATTAATTGGCCACAATGCACGTTATTCGCTGGCCCTATTTTTGGCCACAATACACTGACAAGCATTAAAGTTTTCTATGTTATACATATACATTGGGGAGTGGTAGGCATATAAGCCAATAACAAACAATCATAGCGTTGCATCATGGCCCTATTATTGGCCACGATACACTAGATACGCTGGCCCATTATTTGGCCACGATACACACAAATATTATTTTTAACGATACACGGGAAGGGTTAACTTAAAACAAAAATAGGTCATATTTTTTTATCTTCTTGGTATCATTACATTTGAGTAAAATCATCACTTTTTAAAATAATTTTGAAACTTTTTTTACAGAAAATTAAAAAGGAATAATGAATGTATAAAATCGTGTTTAAATTGATATGATGGCATAAACCAAAAAAATTTGGCAGCCATGTAAAAATAACCTTATTTATATTCCTGATATATAGACTCACGCCTTATATATTATATTTACATTAATTATATTTTTGTTACACATATATTGATTTTTATTTTAGCATTGTGTTAGCAAGGTTGTAGCATGTTTGTTAGCAAGGTTGTAGCATGTTTGTTAGCATTGATATTGACTATAAATATACACCCTTGCTTACAGTATGCTAGATTACAAATCAATATGGGTGTAACAATAACATAAATAAAGCAATTATAATTATTATATCCTGAAATGGATAATATAATGAAATCTCACTTCGTGATAAGGGTGAACAAAGACATTGTCTGTAATAATCGGTGACGAAGGGTAGGTATGTATACGATTTGATCTCATATAGATTTTCCGATAAGAACCGTTTCGATTTAAACTCATCGGAGTCGGCAAAGTTATCAGGGTCCAAATGCAGTGCCCAAATGTGTATTACAATAGACGTGCCTTTTGGCAGATAAATACCCTCTAAATGCTTGTTTTTTGTAAGCATTCTGTCGACTCTTATATAACATAAAAATTACAAATAATTTAATTGTTTAACTAACGAGTAATAGTATTAAGTGAAGACATGTGGCAACACTACATATCGGGTTACCAAACAGTTAACACGTATCACTTCTTTGATAAATGCGTCCAAAAATGGCATTGTTGCAACTTTCCTTAATTTATAGAAAACTCATTCGTATCTTTAGTATACAGTACACGTGTAATAGACATACAGTATGTATTGGCACGTGCACTGTGGACACCAGTGGTGCTGCCCTACCGGCGTGTATATCCGCCTGCGAGGCCGCCGCTACCGTTTACAAGACATTATGCCCACAGCATAATCATAATTAACATGGCATTTGGCATGGTTGTTATTATTATGGTAAATAGCAGGAGTGATCAAATAGGCTGAAAAACTAGACTGGCAACACTATGCCCCATAGAAAATACATTATAGCTACTCATCCTTTACCCCTTAAAAATATTTTCACTCTTAATGTTGGCCACTGTATAAAACAGTCAATAAAATAGTGTGAACTTATACAGTGGCCAACATTAAGAAAGAAAGTATTTTTGAGAGGTAAAGGATGAGTAATTATAGCAATGCCCGCCAATGCACAATTATGTTTGCTTTGTTCTCCTATGGTAAATATTGTATGCCCGGCTAAACGGTCATAAATAATAAAGTTAAATATACTATTGTTTTTATCATAAAAGTCTTATATAAGTAAAGTATCTTATCTCTTTTATTAATATGTCGATTGCATTTTAAAAGTTACACAGAACCAAATATTTATTACACAACCAGGGGGTGAGAGGATGTTGAAAACTATACAAGGGCTGATTGCTAGTCTAATATAAGTATCTTTATATATATTTTTAGTAGCTTAGTATTATGACATTACGTAAGTTTTAATTTACTATTGGTTTTCTAAAAATTGATAATCTGCGTTTTAAAATTTTTTGCTAATTAATTTATTATAATGATCAGTTTAGCAAAGTTGCCTTTTATGTTAAAGTAAAAATATAATTTAATACTTATATAAACACTAAATTAATTGAAGGTTTGTTCAAAAGTGCAAAAGTGGTTATATAATTTTAATTTTATTTGAATTTAAAATTCATTTATTTGTATAAATATTTTTATTTCAATGAATATACAGAATGTTATAATTAAATTCGAGATTACATTAAACAATGAAACATAGTTTACACAACACTATCGACAATCATACTGTTGGGCAATTGTAATCTTTGACGTGTTATACGACGTGTGTTGGGATGCAAAACACGTGGTTGAATAGAATTACCACTTATTAAATGCTGATTATTTGTGATGTTTAAATTCAATACTGGATTATTAACATTAATGGTCTGTTTTTTGCAGAAATATATTTTATATTTGTTGGATAATTGTGTGATTAAATTAGTGACCATAATAACCGATACACCAAACCATAGGCCCACAAGTGAGCCGAGATATAACACGTACTCTTCAAATGATAATTTCAATGATATCTCGTATAGCACATCGGGCTCTGTTGGTAAATTTAATTCTATATAAAAATATGGGTCAAATGGTTCATATGGGAATGATGAATTTTTCAACTTGTATTGAGGAATGTAATAGTCTTTAATGCAATCTATTTCATTGCATTCATTCAAGCAATATAATTCATCCGTTGATTTACAACGTTTTAAACCATTAATATACAAATTGGTCCGCTTATTAAAATCATCATCATCTTCGTAATGAATCGTGTAAGAGGAAATACATTCACTTTCTTTGTCTATTTGGCAACTCATGCATTGCAATACGCACTTATCAAGTGTTTGACCTTTTAAACATTTATCATTATTCACCATGTGATTTAATTTGACAGTATATAATCGGTAAGAAATTATCAAATAGCTATAATTAGTTGGATTACCTTTCCAATTACCCTTGCGGTAAATGTTTCGTACCCTTTCTTGGCGTGAATGCATGTGAACCCTTAGCTCCTTAAATATTGCTTCATTTTTTATTATAAAATTAATAGCCGTATCGCCTTTATTTTTCCTAAACTTTGTCTCATAACGTTCATTTGACTCATTGCCCACCCATTGAGACAATACTGTCAAACAAAAGCTATAACTCAGTGATGTGAGCGACCGGCGATACGGGGCCACGTCAGTGCACTTTTCCCATTTATTTTTGTGCCGGATTGAACATTCAAATATATCATCAAAGTTTACGAGATCATTCATTAGATCGTTCATCGACTGGTTGGCGAGAACCCCTCGTATATCTATCGTACCATTTGGGAATACCAAGTATTTAGATTTTACCTCTGGACGTATCAGGGCTTTGGTTCGCATACATAGTGTGAGCGCCGGTATACTCACCACATCTCTAAACTTGACATTGGTGGTTTTGTCGTATGAGAAGTATATTAAGCTGATTTCATAGGTTTGGTATAGAAATCCACACAATAGTAGTGTTTTCAATAATATATTAATTACTGTTGTTGTGGACAGCATTTTCAAATTAGATTTTAAAATTAAACTATAAACTATTATGTTTGATAAAATATTATTTTTTGATCTTCTGGTTTTCAAACATCAAACATACATTTACATTTAATTCTTATATTTTAATTAAACTGTTTTTTAATATTATTGCACTAACATAAATTTCATTATATTATATTTCATTATATTTCTTTATTATATTTACATTTAATTATTTTATTGTTACACCCATATTGATTTTTAATCCAGCATTGTGTTAGCAAGGTAGTAGCATACATGTATGTATTTGCATTGATATCGACTATAAAAATAAAACCTTGCTTACAGTATGCTAGATTACAAATCAATAAGGGTGTAACATAAATATTATAATTATAATTAGCAAATTATAATGAAATTTCAGTTCGTGACGCACGCCATGTCATCGGTGGTCTGTCAACCAAAAAGTGTCATCATTATTTCTAACCACAATTCAGCTATTAATAATATGTTTATAGAATCGGTCGCCCCCTCCCGACGGCTACACTCATTATTATAAATTGTATAAAATATCGTAAATTGATTGATTAGAATACATATATGATAACTTGTCAAACAAAACACACAATTTGTCTATAACTAAAAGCAATTATATTAACATAAAACTGACAACAAAGTTATAACTCAGAGATTTGTCGACATAAACGCCGACTACTTGTCCGTCCATTACATCTCACACAACAAAACAATACCTATGGAGTGACCGACCGGTGCCCTCACCATACGATTGTATTTCATCAGTGGTTTGAAAATAATTTTATATTTTACTGTTTATTTTTAAAATTTTTATATTTATTTAAAAATATAAATTGAGAGAGAGAGAGAGAGAGAGAGAGGCTATAAATATAATTATTATTACTATGTTACTATTAAAACTACCAAGGTTCCTTCTATTGAGCCGCAACATATGCGATGATGTGATTCATGTTTTATTAAAATCATCACGCTGCTTAATCTTGACCATCATACGCTTAAGACTGGCTAATTGAATGAGTTGATTAAAGCACTCCATGTCCTACATTAAAAACAATTAATAATTATTTATAACTACAATATATTAGTTAATCATGATGCATTAGAATAAACAAATTAAACTAACCTCGGTCTCATCGCAGGCCACAAACTCATTGATCTCGACTATGAAAATACATCCTTGCTTACAGTATGCTAGATTACAAATCAATATGGGTGTAACAATAACATGAATTGAATTGAATTGAATTTATTGATATTTAGACACGTAATGCATACAACAAAAGCTGATTTCCAATACAGACGTGCTTATAAACATAAATATTATAATTATAATTAACATACTTTATGATGAAATCTCAGTTCGTGACACACGCCATGTCATCGGTCGATTGTCAACAAAAAGTGTCATTATTAATTTAACCACAATTCAACTATAAATAATGTAATTTGTAGAACATTTTATCCTCCCTCCCCCTCCCAACGGCTACACTCATTTCAATAAAAGTGTCAATACGATTAAAGTTAAATACCGGTAAGCAGGGGAACGCAGAGCGGGCATAATTGAGCATTGGCGGGCATTGCTATAATGTATTGTCTATGGGAGCATAGTGTTGCCAGTCTAGCTAAGAATATTTGCGATTCACTGCCGGTAAGTATTGAAACAACACATTACCTATGGAGTGACCGACCGGTGCTCTGACCGTTCAAATGTATTTCATCAGTGGTTTGAAAAATATATATACTTTACATGTAGAGAGAGAGAGAGAGAGAGAGAGAGAGAGACGGTATTTAACTTTAATCGTATTGACACTTTTATTGAAATGAGTGTAGCCGTTGGGAGGGGGAGGGAGGAGAGAGAGAGAGAGAGAGAGAGAGAGAGAGAGAGAGAGATGTTATTAATATAATTTTTATTATTAAAACTACCAAGATTCTATTAAGCCGCATCTGATGATGTGATTCATGTTTTATTAAAATCATCACGATGCTTAATCTTGACCATCATACGCTTAAGACTGGCTAATTGAATGAGTTGATTAAAGCAATCCATATCCTACATTATAAACATAATCAATAATTATTTAAAACTACAAAATATTAGTTAATCATGATACATTTGCATAAACAAATCAAACTAACCTTGGTCTCATTGCAGGCCACAAACTCATACCTACACAACAGCTTAACTAACGTATACTTGAGCTCTAATAAAGCAAAACGATAACCAATGCAATTGCGAGGGCCGGTGGCGAAGGGTAGGTATGTATACGGTTTGATAGTATCTATATTGTCATGTAAAAAACGTTCCAGTTTAAATTCCATAGGCTCGGGAAAGTGATCAGGGTCTATGTGCAGCGCCCAAATAGGTATTATAATAGGCGTGTCTTTTGGCAGATAAATGCCCTCTAAATACGTGTCGTTTGTGACGATTCTGTCGACTCTATTTACAACACAAAAATTTATTTTAAAAATTTAATACTTTGCAATTGTAAACACTATGTGGTGACTCTACATACCGGGTGACCGAGCAGTTAACTCGCATCACTTCTTTGATAAAGGCGTCCAAAAATGGCATTTTCTGTAGTTTTTCGTAATCCATAGACAACTCATTGGTATCCTTAGTATACAGAGTGTTATGAATCTCGTGAACCAGTTTTGTTTGATACAAGGGTTTGAGCGCAAGTATGCGAGTTATGTAACACAACTGGGAGGCAGTGGTCTCGTATCCGGCGCCCAACATGCTCATCGACATGCCAATCACTTCTACCTCGGTCAATTCTGATTAAAATACATTTCAAGGTAATTATAAACAAGCAGGATTAATAATATAAATTTAATACATACTATCAAAAGCTTTATTAACGTCGACTGGAGGGTTGGGATACCTATCGGCCCATACGCTAGCATTAATTGAGTGCTGCAACAGGTCGGGTACCTGTACATCGCGGTCCACCCTATTTCTAATTACATGATTTACAGTATTGCCGATCACTCGCATAGCGTTGCCATCAAAAAATGGTAACACAAAAAATCGGCATAAAAAATACCAAAGCCTGTTTTAGACCTAGGTCAGCTTGAAATATCAACTGGATCGCTTTCAACAGCGGATTATGACCAGGGTGACTCAGTGCGTTTGTATCGGCGCCGGCCACAGCCCTAGTAATCACGTCAAACGTGAACGAGTCGTAAACTGTGCGGAAGTCTACCACTTGGCTGTCCCGAGCTTTCGGGTCCAATAGAGTGACCAACCGGTCAAACGTGTCCGACATTATCGGTAGCATAGCTTTGAGGCGACCGGTGGTGAAGGCTGTGGAGTGCAGCGCACGGATACGTTTCCATTGCGGGTATGGCGTAAAAAATACACCCTTTTCTATTGGCTCACACTCGGCCGGAAGTTCCTTGATCAAATTATTAGAAATTAATTACATTTGTTTAGTTATTATATACCGTAATAACTATATAAAATTATAATAAAATTAATAAAAATAAAATCTGTTATAAAATAAATTGTCATAGGAAATGTTGTTTTTAATTATGTAAATGAGCTTAATTTAATATATAAAATAATATAACATACAAATTACAAGTGTAATTTGTTTTTGTTTTTAAAATTTAGACTTACCCTGTGGTTAGCAAACTTGTGAAAGTCAGTGACCAGTACTTTGCGTATGAGATTTGGATCAGTTATTGATAAACAGGGTCTCAACCCTTCGTAAAAACTAATTACATAGAAATTATTTATTAGTAATTTACAATACAAAACACAAAACTAAATCAATGTAAAAACATGTTTAATATATAATTATTGATATCAAATACCCGACAACTTTGCCGTGTTTTCTGTGGCACTCGTTATCCGATATATGAAAGGGTTGACCACTTCTGGCCGACCAATCGGTCGGTATTCCCTGTCGTCTCCAAAACCGCCACTTTTGCCACAATAGGCCTATTGTTAACACTATCGGGGATAGTATAAACAGTGTCGCCAACAACATGGTCACACTATTATTTTGTTTTGATCATTAAACAAATTAAAGTTTTTAAATACTTATAAATTTTTATATTTCTAATTATAAATATAACTTACATTAAATTATGTTACTTGGTTTTATTAATATTAATTTGATTGCTCTTTGTCTACATCAGTAATATTACTAAATTTTCCCTAAATATGCCCATACTATCATCATTGTAACTTGTTGAAAACTGGTTAAGCATTTTTTTATTGTTTTTAGCTGTCACTAAAAATTATTCTATCTACATGCAAATGTCTATATGTTTTTAGTATCTTATGCTCAAAAATATATAATTAATGATTCTTAACGACCTTCATATTGATTGCCACAAAGAATTAAGTTTGCAAATAAAATAGCATAATAAATAAATTGAGAGAGAGAGAGAGAGAGAGAGAGAGAGTCTAAGCCCCCGGGAGGATAGGTTACAACCGGTGTGTGAGTGAAGTGAGAGTCCATTCAAATGGAGAGCAGTATTTAAGCTGAGGTACGAACGGTTTTTGGTTTTATTTCACACATCGTGTTGTTTCGCTCTCACATATACCCCGTGTATAGACAGTATTTAATTACACAAAGAATTAAGTTTGCAAATAAAATAGCATAATAAATAAATTGAGAGAGAGAGAGCTATTGAAAAAGATAATATAATCTGAACAATAAAACAATTATTATGTAAGTTTTACAATATGTCTCTCGTAGTTAGTTATATTTACTCTTAGGCATATAGCATTATTATAAAAATCATTAGTTGCATAATTTTAAGTATACATTTACCCATAGCTAATGCTAATACAGTGATAGACTGGAGTAATATATTGGTTAAAGTAGTCTAGCACCAAATTAAAAAATAATTAACATTTATTTTAACTCTGTAAAATGTAAATTAAACATGGCACAAAAATAACCAGACATACAAACTAACCTTGGTCTCATCTCATGTCTCAATTCATACCTACACAACAACTTAACTAATATATACTTGAACTCTAATACCAATGCAAATGCAAAATGTTTGCAGTTAAATTTCATTAGTGTAATCTATTAAAAGGCAACTTAGTATAGCGGCTATACTTAGTGTAGCCACATGTCCAACTAAAATATATAACTTGAATACATACATAATTAATTGATTCAATTTACAATTAACAGACATTTCATATTATAATTAAATATAATTATATTTAACATAAAGGTCACAAAATGTTGAACAAATATTGTAAAGTTGCATGTAAATAGGATATGAATTGAACAGACGATAATTGTTTCCAATTCATTTGCTGTTCATTATGAATAATTGTTGGGAAAATTTTAATTATCATTATAAGAATGAATTACTAGTAAATATTTAATTAATAATTTGTGATAATTTCAGTAATAAAATCGCTTAAAAATGACCAAACTAATTGTATTTGCACAAAGACATTGAGATCACGGTTGAAAATATGGTCATCTAATACGATTAAGTCAAATATTAATAAAATTGTTGATAATCGCAAAACTTTCTCATAAATCTAATTAAAATGTACTTTTAATAATTAAATTTCTGTAATTCTTTATTTAAAATGACGTTTGTTGGTACATTGAAAGCCAACCACTATAATAAATGGATGAGAAACTATTAGGTTGACCTTCACCTGGTGTTTCTTGTTTATTACTGACAAACCTAAATTTATTTACTGGCCGTTGCGCCACCTATTTATGGCACACTGTGAATTTGAATCTGGTTAACCTAAAATCAAGTTGCCGATTAATAGTGTAATCAATGAGAAAAGCTTGCTAGGTAAAATTGTTAAAATAAATTAAAAATAGTTATACATCTAAATGTTAAAATTCAATAAACTTGCACATGATAAGATAAAATAGATCGGTTATATCAACTTTACAATTAATACAGGTACATGTAATGTAAGTAAAGGGTTGGGCATAAGTGACTGGAGTTTTAATTAATTTTTTAAAAATACTTAGAGTTGAGATATTTTGTTGAAGTAAAGTTTGATTTGATCACAAAAGTGTGTAGTTATTTTAGCACATGTTTTA